ACTTGTATTGGTAACCTGTTCCACGTAGATATTGTACGCACAAAGAAGGAATATCTATAGTTGTCGACTACAACTACAAGTTTGTTGTGAATCTTATAAAACATATATATTTCTCCTAAGTACTCCAAGTGTACTACGTGCGCTTGAAGTGATTGTTTGGACATGATCCTTCCAGTTAAGGTGTTTATTGATGGTAACTCCCAGATACTTGTGTTTTGTGGTTTCCTCTATGCATTGACCCTTAGCTATGTATGTATGTTTCCACGGTTTTGTTTTACGAGTGATTGAGATGGATCTACACTTGGTCTTATGCTATGGAATTTATTTTGGTCAATGTTTAACAAATTTGAATTACAAGCAGAAATGACAAAGTAATGGCAATAATATTGTAAATGTTTCACAAAAATACACAAAACAAATTTCACTTTGTCTACGATGAGGCTACCCTTTAATTAATATAATAATAACATGCAGAAAAGAAACAATTATAGGCCTATATATTTTTACAACAATTATTTTCTAGATACTATCTTTCAACTCAAGGGATCTATAATCTAATCTGTAATCTGAAATTTCAAATTCTTAATTTCTTTTTTAAAAAAGTGGGATATTTTTATGGTATTTTAGGTTTTAGAGTAATTACACTTATTTCTTTAGAATTCATTTAGCCAAATGTTTTAATATTCATATTTTTTTCAGAAAATTTTTTTTATTACCAAATATTTTTATTTTTTGTCAGATTAAGCTTTTAATAAATCATTTTGAAGCATGTAACATGTAACTAAAATTTTTCTCACATTTACCAATAGAATTTAATCAGATTTGTGCTAAAATACTATTCAATAAGTCAGCAATAATAATGTGTAATCATGATTCAATGTATACTGGTATGAGGAAACTTTTATCCCAAAAATATACGCTAAAATTGAGTGTCCTTTTTTTGTAACTTAACTAACCGAATCTCTGTCAAAGTAGTATAATAGAATTTTATTTATGGCCATGTCTTTTATAGATGGTTTGTTTATTCTTTCACATTTATTGTTGAGAAAAGTCTGTGAAGATGTTGTGGTATTGAAAAATGTAACAAAACTAACCGTGGAATTGCCCATATTGGTTTATATATAACAATGCAGTTTATCACCGATATAAATGAAATTAAAGAAATGACTTTATTATCATTATAATTATCATTAACATTATCATTATCATTATCATTATCATCATTATTATTATTATTATTATCATCTGTAAGTGTGGAAAATAACTTTGACAACAATTTTGGTCTAATCCTGGAACTCAGGATTCAGGATGCTGGTTCATTGCAACAGAGGTTTTAACTATTGATTTATTTTACAACCAATCAGAAAATTGACAAGTGACGATTTACCATCATTCAGGACTTGTTTCTTCTTAACACATTGTACACATCGCATACACACGCTACGCGTACATATAATAGGAAGGCTATGCATAGATGATGGAACGTAGCTTTTTATTACAAGTAACCTGGTGATGGTGATGTCATATACCCCCATCGCTAAGTACAAACGGATTATTTGCGGAATATTTGGTTATGCGACTAGAAATTAGGACTAGGTCATTTCACCTCTAGGCTGGACTACTGTGTAAGTCAGATGGGGAAAAAAGGATATTGCAAACCTGTTGTATGGCTGATATATCAGTCAAACCATTAAAAATGTAATTTAAAACATAAATTTATTTGGTAAAATATGCATTTTACAGAGCATTCATATGCACTTTCATCATCGTAAGAATATCCCAGTTACATTGGCAGTATTTAACCATGCAATACCTTTGAATATGATGCAATACCTTTGAATATGATACAATTACTGTATCACATTTTCTCGTTATAGTCAGAAATGGTCATGAATTCATGCATACTTTTATGATTAAAAATGTGCAAACAATATGTACTGAAAATTCATTAGCTATTTGGCTAATATGGTTTAACACCTTTGCCAACTGTCAGTTGTGTTGCTTAGAATAAAAAATAAAAAAGCCTCTAATATTTTACTAAATGCGATAAATAGCCCTAAACATTATTGGAATCAGAACTGTGAATTGTCATGTTAAGTACAAATTGTACTTAACATGCTTGTGACAGGATCATAAATTATGTACTGTAAATAGCAGGTCATATTGTCTTAGATTTCAGTTAAACTTATTTAAGTCGGCTACACACTATCAGCATAATACAACTTTATTATAAATCTGAGTTCACTAGATCTAAAAAACTTTGATCCACAATCAAACAAGAAAATTCCTTTTCATTTAAATGTTATACGCCTTAATTAAAGATATCCTTTAAAAATAATGGTAAATGTATATAGTCCATTTATTTAAAGATCCAAGTTTTCTAGATCTAGAAAAAATGCACATACAATTAGATCTTCATTCTATTTAATATTATACATTTTAATTAAAGATACCCTAATATACTAATACTTATTTCAGGCCATCATACATTTTCAAGATGTTCCGCAATATTTAAGAACCATACAATTTGGAACAGTTATTGTAATGCTAAAGAAAAGTTGTTTCTTGTGATAAAAAAAAACACTTTACCAACCAAACGTAATATATTTGTAACTTAATAAACAAATAAGATCTTAAGGCTTAAACTGTACTGTACAAGGGTCATAGATATACTGTACTACTGTTTGTTTTCACACATGTCCATGACCCAGATATTTGCCTCTAAAATGCTGTTAAATTCTGTCCTAAACTCTACAAAGTCTTTATAAGTTGGACTCAGATATTTTGTAAATTAATACTTTAGGATTGGAGGCCCAATTTTCATTTTAAAATGTGTTTTGTGTCACATTTCTTTTGCTTATTTGGAATATTGAGGTGAAATTTTCAAATAAAATTTGTTCACAATACATTTCTTTGGTTTATTTGGAATATATTTATAAGTTTCAATAAGAAAAAATGCCATCTCTTGAATCTGAATTACTGTTATGGGACAGTTCTAGCCTAAAACCAGAAATTTTAATATCTCTTTATAGTTAATTTTGACTACAAAATAAGCAATTACTTAAAAACCAAATTCCAAGCCCCATCATCTCAATATTTTTTTTAACCCAAAACCTACCTGTGGTGTATCTCATGAAAGTAAAGAGTTTATCATTTGATAGACTTCTAATATATTTTTGGAGAAGTTTCCCCGTGTTTCTCTCCGACTCACTCAGTTGGTCTGGCAGGATGATACTATCTATAACTCTTTTGTGAGTAGGTACTGCCTGGTCACATATGTCACTAATGTTGGACCTGAGGATGGGTTTTACTTGTCCACAAAGACACGATGCCAGCATCTGCTGATGTAAGCCGGTCCTTCGATTAATGTCCTGTGTGCAGTGTCCCTCATAATTTCTTCAAGGTTTTCTGCCGTTACATTTCTCCTCACTTGATAGGAGTCGAGAATATCTATCAAGTCATCTTTGTCTATGCTGTCAAAGTTTTTAAGTGCAGCATCGAGAACAATTCTTTCACCCCTATTTATCTATTTATAATATATATTAAGTAGGTGAATAATACAAATTAATTGTTAGTTTTTTAATAGGTTGTAGATAGTATCTGTCTATAGATTATAAGCAGACTTAGATAGTAATTATGCAACTATGCTACTAATAGTTTTATAACACACTTGTTGTAGCCTCTATCAATATATTTATAATATATATTAAGTAGGTGAATAATACAAATTAATTGTTAGTTTGTTAATAGGTTGCAGATAGTATCTGTCTATAGATTAAAGCAGACTTAGATAGAAATTATGCAACTATGCTACTAATAGTTTTATAACACACTTGTTGTAGCCTCTATCAATATATTTATAATATATTTTAAGTAGGTGAATAATACAAGTTAATTGTTAGTTTGTTAATAGGTTGTAGATAGTAACTGTCTATAGATTATAAGCAGACTTAGATAGACATTATGCAACTATGCTACTAATAGTTTTATAATACACTTGCTGTAGCCTCTATTTATCTATCTATAATATACATTAAGTAGGTCAAAAATACAAATTAATTGTTAGTTTTTTAGTATATTGTAGATAGTATCTGTCTATAGATTATAAGCAGACTTAGATAGACAATATGCAACTATGCTACCAATAGTTTTCTAATACACTTGATGTAGACTCTATCAATATATTTATAATACGTGGTGAATAGTACAAATTATTGTTAGTTTTTTAATAGGTAGTAGATAGTATCTGTCTATAGATTATAAGCAGACTTATATGGACATTATGCAACTATGCTACTAATAGTTTTATAATACACTTGTTGTAGCCTCTATTCATCTATTAATAATATACATTAAGTAGGTTAATAATACAAATTAATTGTTAGTTTTTTAATAGGTTGTAGATAGTATCTGCATCTATAGATTATAAGCAGACTTAGACATTATGCAACTATGCTACTAATAGTTTTATAACACACTTGTTGTAGCCTCTATCAATATATTTATAATACATATTAAGTAGGTGAATAATACAAATTAATTGTTAGTTTTTTAATAGGTTGTAGATAGTATCTGTCTATAGATTATTAGCAGATTTAAGATAGACATTAAGCAACTATGCTACTAATAGTTTTATAACACACTTGTTGTAGCCCCTGTCCATCTATTTATAGTATAAATTAAGTAGGTGAATAATACAAGTTAATTGTTAGTTTTTTAATAGGTTGTATATAGTATCTGTGTATAGATTATAAGCGAACAGCAGATAGACATTATGTAACTATCCTACTAATAGTTTTATTATACACAAATTGTAGCCTCGTCTGTCTATTGATAATATATGTTAAGTAGGTGAATAATACAAGTTAATTGTTTGTTTTTTAATAGGTTGTAGATAGTACCTGTCTATAGAATATTATGCTACTAATAGTTTTATAATACATTTTTGTAGTCTTTGTACATCTATTTATAATACATATTTAGTAGGTAAATAATTAACTGTTATCTACAGTTAATCTGTTCAGCCAACCAATGCTAATCTTGAATGCTTAAATTTGATTGGTCACAAAGAAAGCTTCTTATTTTGAATTTTTTCAGTTAACTTCAATTTTTTAGTGGTAATACAGCTCTTTCTCAGCTGACATCTATGATGATAAAATAGGCAGTTTAACCATTTTTTGAAGTATTTCAGCAGTGTTAATTAAAGGTAAGAATGATTTTATTTATTATTCAGTTAATGGGGTTTATTTTCAGGGCATGCTGGCCTATTATTAAGGAGTCAAATCTAAGGATATAGGCCTAGCTAGTTTAGGGCCTTTGTTGGCCTAGTGGCCTAGCTAAGTGCAGCCTTGTCCTATAATTTAGCTAAGAGGAATGGTAAATTGGCTGTGTTCTCACAGAATTATAAGTTCATGCTATAATATATCTTTTTAATAATAGGTTTAGGGTTAAAGCATACTCCATTTGACGGAAGTTACTGTATTTAGGGGTATTTGTTTTTAGCCTAAGTCTAACAGTTTTATTAACTATTATGTATACTAAAGTATAATACATACTCCAAGTATTGAAATACATGCCATCGTGTTGGGATTCAATATTTCGACATTAATTATGTCATCATCAGTAATGATCAGGAATTATGTATACTATTATTACACATTTATAACATAGACTAACAGGCATGACAGCCAGAGTGTTTTTCACACCATAATTAATCCTGTTAATTGTATTTGTATAAGTATTTGTTAAATTCCCTTTCATTGTATTGTATTCACAATATGTTTTTGGGTAAATACTGAATAAATTAATTAATTAAATGGTGACTTTTTTTCAGGATTCCTTAATCAATGACTTTTTCTGTCTCAATTGCTAAGTGAAAACTCATCAAGTGTAGTAGGAAAGCATTATTGGGAAAACAGAGATTTAAATTACCTCAGATTCAAAGGTGAATAATATTGTTTTGTTTACATTTTAAGTTTAGGTTTGGATTATAAAACATATTCCAAATAGATACCTATTAGTTATTATGATCAGGGCCTGCTGTGATGAAGGTTATCAACTAGAGTAATATCAAAATATACTGCGGATACAGTAGGCCTGTAATTAATATTAACATTGTATACTGCACAATACTTCTGTTTTTAATAACTAAAATAAAAAATATGTTCATGTTTTAGGTACATTTAACAATACTAATAAATTATTTTCCTAAAGATGCAGACATCAAAATCACCATAGAATGGCTTTAAATTATTAAAAAATTAAAACATTTGTCATGATTTTAATTGACAAAAGACCATTTTCTTTCTTATTTTTACTTGTATAGTCTAATTTTTCATTCATTTTAAAAATTGTAATAAGTTTTCAAAATGCTCAGGACATGATATAATTTCTATATAAGAATAATGTATTTAAAATACTACCAAGTACAGCTCACTCAGAGTACTGTATAGGCCTACAATCTGCTCTATTTAATAAAAAAAATTGTTTCGTTGTATCTTTCAGCAGCCAAGGGTGAAACTCTGAAGAAAGTTAAAAGCTAATTGTAACAATCAGACAAGCAAAGACATGGACATGGACAATTGCCACTTAAATATTAGTAGAAAATTGCCATTTATATATTCTATGCCTGTAATGTAAAAGGTTCTTGAATATGGTTTTATATAATATAATAACTTTCATGGATGCTTTAATATACATTAAAGACCAAAATGCTGATTTAAACAGAACTTAAATGCGAAGACTCTAGAATAAGCTTGAATTTGAGGTATGTGTGTTAGTAAGACTTCAGCCAAAAAATATTTTATGGAATACAAGACAAACCCTATGATGCATAGTTAATGTTTTTGTAATTAAAAATTATGGTTTGTATATCTTGAACTCAATAAGTGTATTTTTTGTAAGTGTACAGGAGTTGATTATATATCCAGTTGTTATTTTACCACAAGGAACAATTTCAATCTAAAAAACATACATAACTGGTAACATTTCTAAATGGGACCAGTTAGACCAGTTGGAAGTGAAACCAGTTGTTTCCGTATGAAATAATAGTCAAATTGCTGTAGATTTTTATTAGTCTAATAATAGGCTATAGATTTTTGTAGTCCAATAATAGGCAATTGCTGCAGATTTTTAATAGTCCAATAATAGGTAATTGCTGTAGATTTTTAATAGTCCAGTAATAGCTGATTTCTGTAGATTTTTAATAGTCCAGTAATAACCAATTTCTGTAGATTTTTAATAGTCCAGTAATAGCCAATTGCTGTAGATTTTTAAAAGTCCAGTAATAGCCAATTGCTGTAGATTTTTAATAGTCTAATAATAGCAAATTCCTGTAGATTTTAATAGTCCATTAATAGCCAATTGCTGTAGATTTTTAATAGCCAAAACATAGCCAAATTGCGGTAGATTCTAAATAGATAGTTGTAGGTTATAATAGTTTTTTAATAGTCTAGATAGCCAAAAATTCTGTAGATTTTTAAAAGCCTAATAATAGCCAAATTGCTGTAGATTTTTAATACCCAATAATAGCCAATTGTTGTAGACTTCTGTAAGTCCAATAATAGCCAATTGTTGTAGACTTTTTATAGTCCAGTAACAGTCAGTTGCTGTAGATTTTTAATAATCCAGTAATAGCCAATTGTTGTAGATTTTTAATAGCCAAAACATAGCCAAATTGCGGTAGATTCTAAATAGATAGTTGTAGGTTATAATAGTTTTTTAATAGTCTAGATAGCAAAAATTCTGTAGACTTTTAAAAGCCTAATAGTAGCCAAAATTGCTGTAGATTTTTAATACCCAGTAATAGCCAATTGTTGTAGACTTCTGTTAGTCCAATAATAGCCAATTGTTGGTGACTTTTTATACTCCAGTAACAGTCAGTTGCTGTAGATTTTTAATAATCCAGTAATAGCCAATTGTTGTAGATTTTTAATAGCCAAAACATAGCCAAATTGCGGTAGATTCTAAATAGATAGTTGTAGGTTATAATAGTTTTTTAATAGTCTAGATAGCAAAAATTCTGTAGATTCTAAATAGATAGCTGTAGGTTATAATAGTTTTTTAATATTCTAGTAATAGCCAAAATCCTATAGATTTTTAGTAACTTAATAATAGCCAAATTGTTGTAGATTTTTAATACCCAATAATAGGCAACTGTTGTAAATTTCTATTTGTCCAATATTAGCCAACTGCTGTAGACAGACAAATAATAGCCATGCTGTAGATTTTGATAGTCCAGATAGCTGAATTTCTGTGGATTTTAATAGCTTAAAAATAGCCAATTTGCTGTAGATTTTTAATATCCAATAATAGCCAATTGTTGCGGACTTTCAATAGTCCAATAATAGCCAATTACTGTAGATTTTTATTAGTCAAATAATAGCCAATTGCTGTAGATTTTAATAGTACAGACAGCCAAATATCAATAGATTTTTAATAGCTGAAATATAGCCAAATTGCTGTAGATTCTAAAAAGATTTTTGTAGGTTATATTAGGTTTTTAATAGTCTGGTAATAGCCAAACTTCTTTAGATTTTTAATAGCCTAATAGTAGGCAAATTGCTGTAGATTGTTAATAGCCCAATAACAGTTAATATGCTATATATTTTTGAATAGCCCAAAAATAGTTATCATGCTGTAGATTTTAATAGATCATTGTAGCTTATATTTCATTTGTAATAGCCTAAAATTAGCCATATTGATGTAGATTTTAAATAGATCAATACTAGTCAAATTGCTGTAGATTTTTAATAGATAATTGTAGATTATGGTGGATTTTAAATAGATCAATAATACCCAAATTGCTGTAGAATTTTAATACATAATTTATAGGCAAAATGCTGTAAATTTTATAAGGGACCATTAAAGCCAAATTGCTGGAGAATTTTAAGGTCATTACCAGCCAATATTATTTAGATTGTAAATCTATTTATTTATTTCAAATCATAATAACGATACTGTAACATACTTATACATTATTAATGTTATTTCATCAATTATTAATACTGTAATATAAAATTCACAGAACAGAGTCCAAAGGTAGTTGAATAATATACTTACTATAACATTTATAGAATGAAAGTGTTCATAATAGGTAGTTTAGTGATATTTGAATGATAGATTTACTAGTACAAGATCGATTGAGGAAGTTCTAGTTATATTGTAGAATATTGATAGTTAAATAAAAGATTTTTTAAGTACATTGATATATTTAAAGATGCAGTTCTTGATAGATTTGTCATAGTTGAATAGTAGATTTTAAGTTGTATAAAATTAAATAGTTTGCTGATAGGTATATAATAGATTTGTAATAAATATTAATAGGTGCGACCTACAAATGTGGCTGCGAAATATGCTAATGAGGCAAAAATCTACTAAGAACTATAAAAAATATGCCAAAAATCTACTTATTAGTAGGTGTTAAATAGGTAATAGTGCTATATCTACTAAGGATGATAGATTATAAGGCTAATAGTTATAGAGCTATATCTACTAAGACTTTTTAATATGGGGTAGAAAGCTTCTACAGTACTCTATTAATTAAAAAAAATTGACAATACTCCAAAATTGGTTGCAGATCAGAACAATTCAAAAATCATCATCATTGTAGGTAACCTTTGATCGTGATGGAACTTAACACCCCGAACATATAACTTGCACCATTTGGTAATGTATAATCTAAACTACATGCGTTTGTTATTGACTTTGATATCGACATGCTATATCCATAACGATTGATCAGAGATCTGAAATCTGACGTAAATTGATCAATAGTGGTACATTCGAAAGTAAGGATTATTTTGTTTACTAATGCATAGAACAGTCGTTATTGCCCTTCTGCCCCAAATAATTGAACCTTTTTCATCTTCAAAATAATATTATTCACAGTTCTCTTGAGTACAATACAGCTAAAAAATTGAGGTAGGTAATTTTGTTATTGTTTTTGTTAAAGCATCAGGAGAGAGCAGAAAAAACAGTCACTCTCTCACTAGAAATATAATGGAATGGTATTCAACCAACAATGTGTTTACAAAGCAACCACTGTTACTTGGTAGAGTATTAGTTCACTATTTTTTTTAGATATTTTTGCTAATAACATAATAATAACAAAAATTAGTAAAATAATTTGTTTTGTACTGTACTTGCATTGTTTCTATTTTTTTTTCATTTATGCATACACTCTGTAAATGAAATAAAACAATTATTAGGTAAAATACAATGGTGGACCACCTGCTAAACTGAACTTCTCTACACATTCAGGGTAACGCAAAAATACATTCAACAACACTCTGGTTTAATCACTTAAAAGGTCTAACCGAAGCCAGCGGTTTACCTACAATTACTAGGCCTAGGCTAGATAAGAGACGGAGATGTAGGCCTACCCTACAGTCAGTAGTTAGACAGGTAGACCTACTACAACCCTGTCTCTTATACACATCTAGATGTGTATAAGAGACAGCCCCGTCCATAGTGTAACTGGAGAAAGGGCTTTGCCAATTTGTGCGGAAAATATCCTTCCAGTTTAAATCCAATGACTAATATATCGGCACATGCTCTCCACTCATTTTTAGTCATTGTGTCTCTGATACATGGAACTTTTACATCATCACCTGTTGTGTTTAAAC